TGTGTCTGTGTCTTTGTCTGTGTCTGTGTGTGTGTGTGTATGTCTGTATCTGTGTGTGTGTGTGTGTGTATGTGTGTGTGTGTGTGTGTGTGTCTGTATCTGTGTATGTGTCTGTGTGTGTCTGTCTGTGCGTGTGTATGTCTGTGTGGCTTCTCCACATCGGCGCCCTGAGTTCAAGCGCTCAGTAGCGCAGCACAAACTCCTGTCTGTGTGTCAGTGTATCTGTATGTCCGTGTGTCTGTGTCTGTGCGTGTGTATGTCCGTGTGTCTGAGTATGTATATGTCTGTGTATGTGTCTGTGTCAGTGTATGTCCGGGTGTCTGTGTTTGTGTCTGTGTCTGTGTATGTGTATGTCCGTGTGTCCGTCCGTGTGTGTGTGACATGTACGTGTGTCTGTGTATGTACGTGTGTCTGTGTATGTACGTGTGTCTGTGTATGTATGTGTGTATGTAAGTGTGTCTATGTATGTCCGTGTGCCTGTGTATGTCCGTGTGTATGTCCATGTGTCACAGAAAGTCACGGAATGTCACAAACACGGGAAGTATGATAGTCACTTCTCGTCACCACCGTAGACGTCATGAGTGTGTTTTAGTTGGGAGTGTGCATGCTTTAGGGAGAAAAAAACAAACAAAGGGAGAGCAGGACATGGGATATAGGAGCACGAGAGTGAGGGCAGGCTTGAGTTTCAAGGTACGAAGGCAACGATACCTTCCTCGACGAAAGCAATGGCGTACACTGTAGACTGAATGCCTGGGAAGATGCAGATTTTGCTTCGACAATTTTGCTTCAGTGGTTCAGCCGTGTGGCGCATATGACAACACAAACAGACAGAGAATTAGTGAACAATGTGTCACACACACTCACACTAACTCTACGACACACACAGACTCTCGGTCATTGATGTGTTATGAACATGATTGTCCGCTGCAATTTTGCCAGCCCTCACTCACATAGACTCCCGTACACGCCCATACATGCAGAGAAGGAAGGGAAGAGGAAGTAGAGTGCCACAACGCGGAGAAAAGAAAACTCACTAGAAGACTCACAGAAGCAAAGTGACAGAATACACAGTACAGTGAATTCTCTCTACATATGCATTGAGCCCCGCTGCACTTACGATAGAGTGCACACCATCAGACTGCACAAAAGAAGTAGATGTCGTTGACCACAAAACGGAATCAATCATTATAACCAGTATCCAATAAGAGAGTCAAGAGTTCCATGATTCAACGCTCAACAAAGTATCACGTCCCCTTCGTTACCAGAAGTTATCTGCTCGGCGCTGTCTGCGGTCATCATCAACGACAGAAATTGCGAAGTCCAGGTAAGAACAAGTCCTCTCCACATATTCTCTCTGGTGTGTATCTCACAATGGCTGAAGTCTTCACACCATTAGACGCAAGTGTGTTCACAACATGCATCGTCAACAACCAGAATGAGCACAAGTCTTCAGACCATAGACAAGGATAGAGAAGAAGAGAACAAAGTTGCGCAGCTTATTTTATCAATATCATGATTACAAAGAGTRTTCAAGTCCCCTGAGTTCAAGCGCTCAGTAGCGCAGCACAAACTCCCGTCCAACTCACCGAAGTGGCTTCTCCACATCAGCGCCACCTCAGCAGCATACACACGAGCGCTCAACACTTCCACTCGTGATCGCCAATGGAAAGTCTGACTCGAAATGAGGCTGGCTGTTGCTTTATAGCGATGACCTCCATAAATTGGGTCTGCACTTTGCATGTTCAGGCCTTCTTTGGGCCCAAACCGTGCATTGCATGGGTCCGAACTAAGGGTATRAATTGGGAACGGCCTTTCAGAGAAACCCCCAACAATCATATTTGACACCTGAGGAGATCACAACCAGTACGGCAATGGGAAGATGATACCAAAACACAATTATTAAACAGTTAATTAAACAAAGAGCATCGTTTCAGCATACAGGTCTTGCGTTGGTACAGTGCGATCCCCAGACCCTGCATGSGCCAACCACCCAGCCGCCGACAGACATGAAAAATAGCACCTGAACCCCAGATAACATCCTGCGCCGCCCTGACAAGCAACTCAGAGGCCAGCGCCACCATGAAACAGGCTCACACTGAGGATGAAGAAGAAGCACAACACCAACAGTCTCTGACGTCGATGAAGTTCGGACGATRAAGTCTCTGAGAACAAGCAGTTATGGTTGCATCTCGCCAGCTGGACCCTATACCTGAGGAGGGTCTGCAGCTTACCACATGCTCTCCACTATCAGACCTCTGATAGCCCAGACCGCTGCTGGCCCCAGACTCATGCAGCACACAGACTCATGCACCACACAACAGCTCATGCAGCACACGGCACACGTCGTACGCAGCTCATGCAGCACACAGTTGCACAACACACAACACACACCACACAGCAGCTCATGCAGCACACAGCACACAACACACAGCAGCTCATGCAGCACACAACACGCAGCAGCTCACACACAGCACACACACAGCACACAGCAGCTCATGCAGCACACAGCACACAACAGCTCATGCAGCACACAGCACACAGCACACAGCAGTTCATGCAGCACACAGCAGCTCATGCAGGATAGCCAGTACGCAGCTCATGCAGCACACAGCAGGATAGCTAGACCGTTGCTGGCCCCATACTCGTGCAGTACACGTCGTGCGTCGGCGACAGTACACAGCACACAACACACTACAGTACACAGCACACAACACACAACACACTACAATACAGCCTCTGTGCGCCGGCGCAGGCTCCAGAAAACAGCAAGTCAATGCAAGTGCATACAGTCAACACCGCACCTACACGCTCATACACATTATATTTGTGTGTGTGCGAACTGGTCTCAGTGCAGTCTTCACTRTGTTCTTATTTCATGCTTTTCTTTGTTGCATTGCCTTTGCGCGGCGCTCCTTTCCTCTTCGACGACCCCGCTGGAGTGTCACCGCCTTTGCGTGCTGCTGCTATCTTCTCAGACACCCCCTTCCCCACCTGCGCTTCTCTCTCAACCTGCCTTGCAGCATTCATCTGTCGTAGCTTTTCCGCTCTCTTCTGCTCGTCGATAATGCCTTCATATTTGTATACCCAGCAAGCCTTGGCCAAGTTATCAACCAGCTTCAGGTCCTTCAGTTGGATCGTCACCCTCTTGCAGTAGATAGCAATGATGTTTGTTCTCTCGAAATGGTTGATAAGATATGCTTCGGCCRCTTCCAGCAACGCACGTAWGGBGTTCATCTGAAACCTGATAGATTTCCCTAKTGCGATTTCTTTCTCGACGACCTCGCGCACGACCCTCATGAACAGCCTCAAAGCGGTGCACAAGTGAGTAGATCGTTGAAGTTGCCGAATTTCTGCCAATGCTGCCATCCCTTGGCGGCGCCTGCGCTTTGGAACTGGGGCAGCGGCTGCTTTGGAAGTCTGGTCTCGATCTGGGACATCTTCTTTTTTGCCTTTTGCTTTTGTGGAACTCCTGAGTCCACGAGGCGGCCTAGACGTGCACTGCTTCTTCTTCTTCTCTGCCCTCCCTGTCACGTGCACCGCAGGGGTGTCACCATCGTCGGGTTCTGCATTAGAACATCCCCCATCATTTGCTGTTTCCGGGCCGTCGACCTGAGTTGCCAAATGTGAAATGTCCTGCTGCTGCTGTGTTGTTTGTTGTGCATTCGATGCAGCACGAGCATCGTCATCACCCACATATTGAATTTGTCGCAGCAGTCCATCTATATACGTGAGCTGGAAAGGGACACCCAGAGGGTCAGACTCTCTGAATCTCATGCACATTTGTTCACCATGCTCATATGTCATGGGACAGACGACAGGGACCCACCCAAGAACTGATGTGCACCCGTGTCTGCGTCGAATGCCCTCCAGAAACATGTCATCCATCGAGGGTCGTGCTAGCTCGGGGCACGAGTCTTCCACAATCGACCACATCGCCTGGTCATTATGGGAGTCATATCCCATGCACACCATCTCCCATTCTTCCTCCCTTATCTTCTCCCAGCAACGCCAGCAACGCTGCGCGTGTTCCTCCAACAATCCCCGGTCCTTCACATGAGGATTGCAAACGGAGACACGTGTCACCACCACCAAGAACTGTCAATGCTCCACAACGCCAGCATGCATCCAACCCAAAGGCAGCCACTCACCAGATTGCATTCTTGCTGCCAGTGTCACTTTGCCATCATCAACTGCTGGATGCAAAGAACCAGGTACCCAATTGACAAGGTACCCGTACATGTCACGGGCCACATGCTGGTACAACTRCCCTTCTTAAATCACATGGGCCGCAATGTTACTGGCTGCAACCACATCCTTTCGCATTGCCACACGGTCCCATACGTCCATACAGATGCCATCAAATGTGGTTTCTTTTCCCCTTACCTGGACGTATGTGATGCGCTTCTCACCACTAAACACCATCACTTTAGCGAGGGCCAACTCGACAGGATTACCAAGTGGCGGGTCGAAGATGCGTGCATCGCGTGGCCGGCATGTCATCTCCTCCTTTTCGTCTGCAGTCGCTTCTCTATCGAAATGACGGAAGGAAAACATGTCGTTCTCGTAATGCGCGTTCCACACATTGCCCATGATATCACGCACTTGCATCTTAACACGGCCATATCCAAATGGGATTGCAGATGGCACCCAACCCCATCGAGGATCCCTTCTTRCATCGTCCTGGCTGACTGGCGTCCCCCCCCTGCCTTGCTGGCCATCCAACACCCACAACTGTCCGCAGTCAAAGTTGTCATATACGAAATCGTTGAGCCGCAAYTTACCCTTTGCCTGTAGAACACGATACATCTCCAATGCGTATTGGCAAGCATCGTGSGTCGTTGCCCCATCATTCAACCTCAACACTTTGTCATAGATAAATGACAGACATACGTTACGCCATGTTCCTTTCTTTGGGGCAGGAACARCAACCCACTCATCAGCAACCTTGAAAGCAAAGCAATGCACACCTCCAACGATACCTGGTTAAACACGACCTGGCACCCAATTCACATCGTACGAGTATCTATCTCCTGCCATTGCCTTTGTCACATTTGCATCTGTGACAATGTATCCACTGTGAGGACCCTCGCTGCCAACATCTTCGTCGTCTCTCTTCCCACCCACCTTCTCTGTCTCAGCACTGTTCCCTCGTGCACCGCTTTCGTTGTCATCCACGTCAGCAAGCATCTGCTCAGTTTCCATATGAATTGTGGCGAACACCTCTTCACATGCAGCAGTGGTTGTGCCCCCGCCGCTGGTCTGCAGATGAACTGTCGTTTCGTTGACCTCACTTGCAGGGGAACGACCACTCAGAATGACTTCTGTTTCCATGACAGTGGTCTCTCCAGCATTGGCGGCTGTTGCAATGGCGGATTCCATCTAAATATTTACACAACACATAAGGTCGTGAGTCAACGTCGCTGAGAAAATGTTTCCACAAGCGAGAGAGAGAGAGAGAGAGAGAGAGAGAGAGAGAGAGAGAGAGAGAGAGAGAGAGAGAGAGAGAGAGAGAG